GTAGCATATTGGGTTCACGTAACTTATATGAACAAGAAAAAGTTCAAATAAAACATGTCTGATTAGAAAATTTTAAAACCTTTGTTTTTCCTGCTCTAAACGTACTACCGGTGTAAGTTCGAGATATACATAATACAGCTAATGAAAACAATACCTAATAAAAAAAAGTACTGTTATGACACCATAAGTTTTAAACTGTTTAAAGACATACTGCACCTTCGATACTAAATTTTACCCATGTCATATCGTTCACTAAGTAAATTCCATGAGACTGGAAACATTTGTAAACACGTTGTATGCTACGTTGTTTCGTGATAATGATATATTGTAGATTTTTCAGATACTGTACAATGGACTGATATAGTCAGGTTTTAATTTTTTGATTAACTATTGATAGTTCTTCAAATAGTCATACAGTGACCTCAGATGTAAGTTTATTAGTTAGTAAAGAACCTTATCACATTTTCTGTGGTTAATGGTCAGTTGGTTAGTGAAAAGGGTTGTTAAATATTCTTGTTATAGAAGTAGTAGATATTTACTTAATGATCAGATATTGAATATTTTGTATCAAATTCAAATGTGGTGCTATCAGATATTACACGGTTCCACTATATGTATTATCCCATCACATATTCATTGGCAGTGATATTTGCATGGTCTTGTCAGATGCTCCTTGATAGAGTGACTCAAAGCAGTCATGTCATGTATTCAATACGAAACTGATGCTAAAAGAAGTCTATGTGAGTTCATAGTAATTCTTGACACTGAAGAGTAGTGAGCTAATCGAACATATTATACACGTGTTTACGCAGGGATCGAATTCCACATTATAGAGTTATAAGCTGTCCCCGCTGGGAAAGGAGGAAATTACACAGCGAAGACATATCCAAAGAATGATTTTAGTAATCTGTATTGGCATGAGCTTTGTATAGATTAAACCATAAAGAATTATATAGGGATGACTTTTTATGGTGAACGTATAAAACCGTTGTAAGAGACTGGCCATGCTTTTTCCGGCTTTTCAGGTTGAACAGGCAATAGCCGGCTAAACAAAAGGTTTTTGTCCACCTTTATATCCCGTCGTTACAGTTTGACTAAGCATTGAGCTCATGCGTTAGCTAACCGGACGATAAACAAATTTCCTTCCGGCAGCTTTTCCCTTACGGTGATATCCGGTCTCTCCCTTTCCGTTTTCTACTGACATTGGTACATTATGGTAGTCAAAAAACACTGTTGATATTCTATACGCTAGTGTTGGTTTGAATTATTAGATCATGCGTACAAACAGTACATCGCATATAGTTGCACGTGTTTAGGCTTGCGACATTTTAACTGTTTGGAAAATATGTCCTAGCATATGTTTTTTTTACAATACAAATTAACGCTTA